ATGAGAGAGAGAGATAGAGTGAGAGAGAGAGAGGCGTCGGTTGTTATCTCTCTCTCTCTCTCTCTCTCTCTCTCTCTCTCTCTCTCTCTCTCTCTCTCTCTCTGTCACAATATTCTTCACACATACCGTAAAATATCGTGGTATAACCTTGAAGAAATTAACCTCATCAGTCCTATCAGATTTTTTTTTCTTCTTTTTGACAATTAGACCATCATTTTTCCTTACCCCCCCCCCTCCCCCCCAACGACCTCGCGGCACATGTGAAGAGAAAATTAGGAAAATGCTAAGATGTTGAGATGAGGGACAGCCTCTCTTTTCCCCTCTCTAGTTCCCTTCCCCCTCTTTTCCTCTTCTCTTCATCCTCCTCATCTTCATCTTCCGTCTGTTCCTCCTCCTACTCCTCCTCCTCCTCCTCCTCCTCCTCCCCTTCCTCCTCCTATTCTATCTTCTCCTTCTCCTCCTCCTCCTCCTCCTCCTCCTCATCCTCATCCTCCTTCATTATTACCCCCCCCCTCCTCCTCCTCCTCCATTATTATCCCCCCCTCCTCCTCCTCCTCCTCTTCTTCTTCTTCTTCCTCCTCCTCTTCCTACGTCTGCTCCTCCTCCTCCTCCTCCTCCTCCTCCTCCTCCTCCTCCTCCTCCTCCTCCTCCCCTTCCTCCTCCTCCTCCTCTCCTCCTCCTCCTCCTCCTCCTCCTCCTCCCTTCCTCTCCCCTTCCTCCTCCCTCCTCCTCCTCCCCCTCTTCCTCATACCTCATTCCCTCAAGAGGGCGTGGGGTGACTGAAGCCGCATCAGAATAAGAGAGTTATCAGGTGGCGCTGTGAAAGGGCAGGGCGCTCGTGCGTAGGAGGCGAGAGAGAGAGAGAGAGAGAGAGGCCCTTGGAGTGATGGGCATGGCCTTATGGCGAGGGAGGGTATCGAGGTCGTCTTAGCGAGGTTTGGAATTGATTTTTAAAAAGAGACAAACGGAATTTGGTTCAGAGGTAGAGGAGGGAAAAGGGAGTTTCTGGATTTTTTTTTTTTTTTTTTTTTTTTTTTTTTTTTTTTTTTTTTTTTTTTTTTTTGAGAAGAGAGGGGAGGTTTATAGTTCGTTTTGTCGGGGTTTGGAATTGATTCGAAAGAGAGGTTTGGAATTGATTTAAAAGAGACGTTTCGATAAAGGAAATAAATTAAATAAATAAATTAAAGAATGAAACAAATAAATAAATAAATATAAAGTTTGGAATTAGTTTATAAGAAAGGTTTTAATTTGATTAATAAAAAGAGGTTTGGAACTGATTCAGAAGACAGTTTCGAATCGATTTAAAAGATAGTTTCGAATGGAGTCAAGGGAGAAGTTTCGAATTAATTTAATTAACGGAGAAGTTTCAAATTGATTCAAAAAAGAAGTTATGAATTGTTTTTAAAAAGAGGAGTCTGTCGAATGAACTTGAAATTTCGAATCGACTGGACGAGAGTAAAAAATAAATAAATTAATTAATTAATTAAATATATATATATATATATATATATATATATATATATATATATATATATATATATATATATATATATATCATTCAAGGTGTTTTGAATTCATTTTGGAAGGGAGTCTCGCGTGATGAGAAGTTTTGATTCAGAAGTTTTCGAAGTGAACTGGACTAGACGAGAAGGTGTTGCCAGTTTGATTTTGAGTTTCAGTTTGATTGAGTGTCGGAGGGACCTTATGAAGGGAAGTTTCGAGGTGTTTCGATTTCAAAAGTTTTAGGTGGATAGAAGATCAATATGGAAGTGAGGTTTTTAAGTGATTTTTTTTTGAGGAGAGTGAAACGGAGGCTTAGATCATAATAAGTTATTTCGATTTTTTTTTTTTTTTTTTTTTTTTAAGTGAAGTTTTGGAGGAGTGAACCGGAGGCTTAGATCATAATGAGCTATTTCGATTTTTTTTTTTTTTCTTTTTTTTTAAGTGAAGTTTTGGAGGAATGAACCGGAGGCTTAGATCATAATAAGCTATTTCGATTTTTTTTTTTTTTTTTTTTAAGTGAAGTTTTGGAGGAGTGAACCAGAGGCTTAGTTCATAATAAGCTATTTCGATTTTTTTTTCTTTTTTTTAAGTGAAGTTCTAAATCGATCCAGTACATAAGTTTCATATTGATTCGAAGAGATGTATTGAATGATTTTTAAGAGGGAAGTTTGGAAGTGACTGTGAGGGAGTTTGGAAGTTTGAAGTTGATTTTGAAGCGAGATTTTGATATTATTTAGAAATTTTTGGTTTTGAAGATTTTGAGATTGGTTTTAAAGAGAATTTGAGACTGGAGATGATACGAGAAACTTTGTTTGGAAGTTCAAAGTTTTGAGTCTCTGTTAACGACAAATTACCAGTTTATTTTTGTCTCAAATTGTTCTTAAAATGAGAAAAAAAAAATCAAAATTTAAACGATTTTTTTTAACCAGTTGGGGATAACATTTTTTATCACATTTTTTCCTTTCTTTTCATTTTTTTCTAGTTTATTGCACCTGTT